TGCCGATATATTTTGTACTAAGGTAAAGATAACTTCCACAAGGATTTTGGAGTAATCGTCTGAAATTGATAGGAAGGATTTTTATTAATTTTTTTTCTCTTCTTAAATTACCACTTTGCGAAGTTAACACTATCCTTCTTGTTAATTAATGTTTACTCCAAAATCCTTGTGAAGTTATCAGTATCAGGAGCATATCACCGAAGGAAAAAACTACCCGAACCTCTCATTCCATATTTGGGCAAAAAGTGCATCCTTTTTTCTGATCAGCCGGCTGATAAACCCCAGCTTGTTTTTAGGTTATACGCCTCTGTTTGAATTGATGACAAAAGTAGTCAGGAACCTGAGATTAGGAGTTATCATCTATTTGCAGCAATGGGAATTTTGCATGATGCAATCGAGACATTTAATTCCTACTGAATTAAACTAAATAACTAACTTAAAGAAACAATTGGTCAATGAACAAATTCTCCAATGAATTTTGGCAACCTAAAGTTATTATGTATGTTAGTTTGATTTGATGACACTCTGATATCACTCTGAAGTGATTTGGAGCTTGAGATTAGGAGCTTTCACTTCCTTACAGCAATAGGACACAATCAAGACTGTTGATTCTTACATTCCTGTAGGTAACAGCTCATTAAAGCTAAAGATGGCCACTACAAAAGAGTACACCGATGAAGAACTGAATTATTACCGGATTTGCTATCTCACCACTGATATAATTACCGAGGGTCTGCGAACAATCTTCAAACAGGAATGGAATAGTCGTCACAAGGCAACATTAGGTGAATGGAAAGATGAGCCAAAAAATGGTCAGGACTTCAAGAACAGTGAATCTCTGCGCAAGCAAAGGGAAAAAGCCCATCTTCTGGTCACCATGGTCAATGGAAACAGTGCTGAATGGGATTGTACCATGCTTTTTTATGCCATTCTTTTCTCCGATTGTATTGGGAATGGTCTCAATCCAACTATAAAATCAAAAGTGGATGATCTCAGAAAGCTCCGTAATGAAGATTTTGCACACATGCCACATGGCCACCTCACAGATGCAGAGTTTCAAAATGCTATCAATAAAGTTGAAGTAGCCTTCCAAGCTCTTGGCCTCTCCACACACCAAATTCAAGTGGTTTACCATCAGACAAGTTTCCCCACTGAGGAACTGAGTAATGTGTTAAAAAAGGTTGAGGTACTTGAAGCTCAGTTAAACAAAGAAATTTCATCCTTCTGCGTCCTTCCACCTAAACCTTCACACGAAGTTGCAAATCGTGAATTTGAGGTGGCTGGAATTTCAAAACAGTTGGAAGAGCTCAAAGAGGCCAATGAGAAAAGATTGAGTTACTTGTACATCTCTGGCAACCCAGGAAGTGGCAAATCTCAGTTAGCTGGTCTCGTGGGGAAGAGATACTTTGATGTAGTAAATTCAATTCCAAATTCTACAGTTTTTGTGATGACGGCAAATGCTGAAAGCCCAAGCACTCTTCTAGAATCGTATATCTCCTTGGCGCGAAAGCTTAAGTGCCCAGAATATGCCACTACTAACACACTTAACTCTCCGGATTTAAACTCAGATGAGAAGATTGCTCATATGAAGTCCTTAATTGGCACAAAAATCCAGCTTTACAGCTCTTGGCTCCTAGTTGTTGACAACGTCAAAAGCATTTCTAAGATTCATGCGTATTTGCCAGAGTCTGGAGATGAACAGTGGGCAAGGGGTCAGTTGTTGATCACAACACAAGACACCATGTCTGTTCCGCCAACAAACTCTTTTACTAGTCATTTATCTTTTAGCAAAGGTATGGAGCCCCATGATGCCATGACATTACTTGAAAAGCTTTCTGGTATCTCAGATTATGATACAAAGAAGCTTGCACAAGTATTAGACTACCAGCCGCTTGCCTTAGCAATTGCCGCAACCTATGTCAGAGAGGCTCAGCAGAATAGAGCGAATTTTGGATGGAGTGATTACCTAAAAAGACTTGAGGAAGGCCGAAGAGGGGCGACTGCAAACATTTTCATTGAAACGAACCAAACTTACCCAAAATCAGTGACTGAGGTATTAGAGATAGCTGTTCAAGAGGCAATGGAATCCACCAATGTTGTACTCAAGCACACTGTTACTTTGTTGTCCTTGTGCGCAGCACAGCCATTAAATCTTGAGATAGCAGTAAATTACATTTGCAAGGTAGAGATAGATTTGCAAGATGAAGAAAACATTAGGATGAAGATTCGAAGATGCCCTCTGTTGCTATTGGATGAGGAGGAGAGTGGTGTCTACATTAGAGTACATCAGGTTACACACGATGCTATCTGCAGGTTGATAAAAGCAAAGTCCGGAGAAGGTGAACTATTAGCCTTAAATGCGACGGTTGAGGCCATGTCCCAGTTTCTGAATGATAGTAAAAAGTTAATTGGCTTCAAAAAATTTTATTCATGTGAGAAAGGCAGACAAACTGTTCTTCATGCTGAAACATTGTTGAGAAAAATTGAAAGATTTAAATATTCAAAGGAAAACATTTCTGAGGTTGCAGGAAATGATATCTGTAAAATGTTTTGTGATGTACGCATTAAGGCAGCAGCCTTATGTCTTCATGTTCAGGCTGAAATTCTGAAATATCATGATTGTGTATCAGGATTGTGTACATTAGTCTGAGAAAGCTTGGATCACAGCATTCCCTTATTGCAGGGACCTTGGATCAAGCCAACAAGTATCATGATCATGCAAGAGTTATTCGTTGAGAAAATCTCAGAACTGAGGATATCTATTCCTCAACATGCAATATCCTGTGAGATCCATTTGAGGGTGTGGGTAACCTTTCTCATGGAAAAGAGCAGCTGCTGCATCATGCAGCAGCTAAATTATACTCAAACGATTCAGGACAGTTTTATGAGGCAATTAATTCAAAGCTTCAACATCTCTCCTCCCTCTCTGAAACCCATGGGCATTTGATTGTTGTCTGTACTAGGGGAGTGGGGAATTTGAAACTTGCTTGGGTGGGGAATTTAAACCAGAACTGTCAAGTCTTTTCAGACTTCCAGTGGAATGTTGAGGCTTTGATTTGATCATTGCACCAGTCCAGTTAAAAATTTAATTACTCGAGAACTCTCTGCAATTAATGGGTGGATTTTGTTTACAATAGAGATAAAGCTTCAACACATCCTCAATTAGTGACCAAAAAAAAAAAAACTGTCAGAGAAATCTTTTTAGAAACTTTAATAACCAAGCCTGTGAGATGACTTATGTAAGCATCATAATAGCTCTTGTATCATATGGCCAAAGCTTCCATGTTTTGGTGTAATTCTTTGGTTGGTTTATGTTTTGTAAGATAGTTTTAAAATTTTTTAAGGGCTACTGGTGCTAAGAAAGGTGCCTTTTATTAGTTTCTTGTTTAATTGGTCATTTTCATTTTTCATTTTCATTGAGGTTGAGACCACATTTTTTATATTGAAACATTGTCAAAAGCCATTTACTTTGCAGATCTTCTGTGTGACATGCCCGTCTAGAACTTACAGCCTTCTCTGCACTGAAAGAAATTGAAGAATGCTGTTATAGATGTCAGTGACACAAAAATGTTCACAGGGATGCCTGTGATCCAAAGTCTTTTGTTTGTTTTCTGTTAGAGTGTTTATGGATTGAATGAATATGAAAATACAGAAGATTCAGCTGGGAATTGTCTTGTGAATACTTGCAATAAAAAATAAGGCTGCTCACCAGGTATCAGGTTGTTTTGTACCCTCCCATGGTTGTTTTGTAGCCACATGCAGTCAATTTGTACTAAAGTTTGAGTTGGTTCATACCCAAAGCACTGATCCACTCATACACTTATTGGAGACAAATGACAAACCAGCTTGAGAACCTGACACCATGTGGTTTCTTTTTACTCCTAGGAGGGACTGACATCCAATTTCTCCTAACAACACCACCCTTGGATCAAACCTTAAGGTCATGAGAATAAAGGATATGATCACCAGCTAAAGAAGCTCTTGATTGTTAAACAAATTCTCCTTGTCAATTGCAAGGGATACCTCAGGAAAATATGTAGAGGTCAAAATGGTGGGCACTCATTCATAAACAATTCTTTGACTAAGCACTAAACATCTACAAGCTGATAATGAATGAAAGTTGCGGATATGTAATTTGAAACATAGCTGGTAATTTGATTCAGACTAATGTCCACAGGAATCCCGAGGATTGTATAAGGACTAAATGATGACCTTTATCCAGTGGATTATCCCTCATTCTGCAGGATATCTCTGGATTCTCATTGAAAGTCACTATGACATTGTAACATTTAATAACACAAGTTCTGTGAAGTTTAAATTTAAAATTACCAGTTGAAGCTTCATAAACATGATGACTGGCTTATCACTGATACTTAACTGCTCATATGCTTATAATGGGGTTGACAATTTCTGATTTCATTACTTATGAGAAAAATGAATAAATAAGAAATTTGTTCCTTCGTAATATTCGTTATTTCTTAATTTACGATGCAGGGCACCCCTTTACTGAAATCTGTCAAAAAATTGTCTCTCAACGAGATTAAAATTAAGCGAGCCAAAGTTTTTGTTTATGTTTTATGTAAAACACCGTGAATTGTCCCTTCCTTGTTATTCTATCCACTGTTCGAGGAAAACTGGGCATAGCTTCGAATCAAAACAGTCATGACAGAATGTTTCGAGGACAGTGGGTTTTCTCTTTGGTTGAAAACTTTTTGTGATACTTTTAGCACTTTGTCAAATGACCAAAAGAATTCCGCGATTGAAGGTATCATAGATACATGCGGACCCGAACAGCTACGGTTTTTGTCCACGAAACTCGAAACACTCGTGAAACGAGATTACTTGAAATGTTTACCTCTGGAGTTGAGTTTTCATGTCTTGAAATGGCTGGATCCTGTGTCCTTGTGCAAATGCTGTCTTGTGAGTAAGAAATGGAACAAAGTAATTTTAAGCTGCGATGATGTTTGGCAAAACGCTTGTAGGCAGCTTGGTATGGAAGTCAAAGAAGATAACGTGGATTCTGAAAGAAACTCGACCTCTACCACCACGTGGAAACAGATATATATTTCACATGTACAGGATATGAAAAAGTTAAAAGACGAGGGTGCGGTGGAAAAGAAACAGCTTTATGGTCACACAGCTAGAGTGTTTGCACTTTATTATCGTGGAAATTATCTTGCTACTGGTGAGAGAGTTTTGCTCGTTGAGCGAAGCTGGGAATGGTTCATACGGAGTTGATAATGTAAATTAGCCACCGTAAAG